GAATTAGCACGTCTCCCCCCAGTCCCTGGTAAAACGGCCTCACTTAAAATCACTTAACACTCTAGTGAGCATGATACATGAAGTACTCCCAACTGTCATCCTGTGGAAAGTGTGAGAGTGGAAGAGGAAAAGACAAACCGGGAGGGAGGGTCGAAAGAGTCCTTATTGACCTGCCTTAAATGCTTTTTCTTTTTTCAGCACCTGTCACGTTGTATTGTGTTCACATTATACAGTGTGTTTTCTAGTGGGTGATATTGATGAGGAATGACTTGACATACTGTAGGCAGCATGTGTGTGTAAAACCTGGCTGAACTCAGTGTCTGTCCTTTGAATTAAGTGGATGAGATCCAGCGAGTTTCAAACATAAGATGCACTGATCTGTAACCTTCGCTGCTTAAACAAAGGAGTCAGCATGGCAGCCTTTCTGTAGTAATGCAAATCGTATGTGAACATATGAATGTTTAAAGGGGAAATCTATTGCCATAAAGGGCCATTTTAAAATAATGCTTCAATCTAATGAGACCATATTTTATAAGCTCTGACTCGAGCGCAAGAAAAAAGAAATAAAGGTTTCTATAAACTTCCAGTTCCTTAATAATGTGATAAAAATGAGGATTGTCATTAAAACGCAGTGCCTGAGGAATTTAATAAAAACTGATTTTCATAAAGTTGTGATTTTATACCATCTTTCATTAAAAAAGTAACCCTTATACTGTTGCAAAACTCTATGAGTTTCTTTCTTCTGTCAAAAACAAGATATTTTAAAGAACTGCTTTTGTCTATACAATGAAAGTCAGTAGGGTCCTGTGATGTTTTAACATTTAAAAAATAAAATAAAATACAAATATTTAGTGTTCCACAAAATTCATACAGGTTTAGAGTTACACAAGAGTTAGTGAATGATGACAGAAATTTATTTTTTGGGAGAACAGTACAATTTGGTCAATTTTGGTGGGCTTTCAAAAGAGAATAAAACTTTTTATAGAAAGGAAAAGTTGAAAATAAAAAAAATGGATATACAGTGGTGTGAAAAAGTGTTGGCCCCCTTCCTGATTTCTTATTTTTTAAATGACAAACAGGCAATAAAGTTGTTTTTTTACTTGTTAAATTAATTTAAAAAATCCAAAAATTATTTTTCTATTTTGCCAGCCAGTTGAATAAAAGATGCTAAAGAAGGATTGCCATGGATTCAATCACTTTAGCAACAACATGGTAAGAAATGCTTGTGGAATTGGCCATCTGAATATGTCTGAGGCAGACTTTACTTAGAAGATTTCATTTTAGGTAAACTAAAAATGTCTTGGATAATGAATAAGTAATAAAGTAACTGTTTGAAAAAGGCTTTCTTCAGCTGAAATAGAAGAACATTGCACTCTGACAATTTCAATGTATCATGTATTGTGTTATATTATAAACACAATGGATGATGATCAGTATTGACACAGCCCTCAAAATGAATTAAAGAACATTTTTAAATGGCACTTCAAGTCAAAATGGAGAGAAACAAACTTTTGTTGTATAACGCATGTAGTTCTTTCAAAATTGAACGGGTCTTGTTGTTTGTGTCTCCTAATGGTAGTTAAACAGGTACCCTGGATGTACAGTACCATCTACGCCAACATACAGAAATGCCCTCGTTTAGCAAACAGCTTGTACTGAGAAATGAGCAAAACACTGGCCCTATAGCTCATTTTGTTCAGATACACAGAGCTGAGCGAGGAAATTTCCTGTTACTGCTTGCGTAATGAAAACGCAGAGTGCTTAATGTCACTATTGAGAGTGTATGTGCAGATGGTGTGCGTTCCTCACTGCTCAGCTCTGACGGCGCAAATAACTAGCTACACATTTTAAATTTTTGATGAGACCCCCTCTCAACACACTTTGGCAGCACTGCTTGAGCAAACAAAACAGACGTGCAAACAATATCTTTCCATGAATGTTAGCATAAGTTTTTTAGGGTATCTCTAAAGGCCTGACTTAACAAGTGTTGAGTCAGAAGAAGAGATTTGTTTGATATGAGACAGGCTTCAAAGACTACAACGAGTTCAAGTTTTACAGAAAACATCAAAAGTGTGCAAAATGGAAGGATTTTTTTTAAGTTATAAATAATTTCCATAATTTTTGAAATAAACATATGACTATAACACATTAAGTAAATGATATAAATAGCAGATGCACACCTCAGTGTCATTATTGTTAACTTAAACTGTTAATAATTTTCAAACGCTGAAATAATAAAAAATATTTAAAAAACTTACATTTAAAACATTTAAATTAGAAATTAAAAACAAAAATTAGAAATATTATTATAAAAATCAAAGATACATAGAAATATTTTTTTAAAAAGCACTATGAAAAGTTTGGTTAAGACTAGACTGCACAATTTAATTGGTAATTTAACATACAGTAATTAATTGAATGAAAAATAATGCATTCTAGTTATACCTCTAAAGGTTTAAAATGATCACTTTTGCTGAATCGCAGAGATGCTAAAAATGCAATGCAAAGGTTAAAGAGAATAATTTTTTAATGTATTAAATTGATCAAAAGTGACAATAAAGACAATGTTACAAAAAAAGGTTTCAAATAAGTGCTATTCTTTTGAACTCTTAATTTATTATTTTAAGCCATCTTAGGAATAAATAACATTTCAAAATCTTAAAATAAGAAACCGTTATTTTAAATTGTAATAATATTTCACCATTTTACTCTTTTTACTGTGTTTTATATCAAATAAATGCAGGCTAGGTGAGAATAAGAGAACAAAAACATTATAAAAATCTTACCGACTTCTAACTATTGAGTGGTTGTGTATATTTTACCTCCTTGGTACAGACCAACATTTCAAAAGTAGTGCAGAGGAAATGCAAGTCTACCTCAGATATACTGACAAAATTAATAGCAAAATGGATTTCTGTGGATGGCAAGCCAGTGATATAGGCTACTTACTGTATGTTCAATTATATGTAAATAAAACATATTGACAACCATTTTTTAACTATTAAACAGTACTCAACATCATTTACTTATTTTGACATTCTCATCTGGGGGCTTTTTTCAAATATTGCAAATATTTGAAAATATTTATCAAATATTTTGCAAATATTGATTTATGATGTTTAGTGTGATTCATTTACTAACTAATCAGCATATCCTGCAATTAATTTGATTGGAATTTGTAATCGATTGACAGCGCTAGCTAAAATCATTCGGTCTGCAGTAATCTATAAAGCTGAGTCTGAAGAAGATCCAATTGCTTTGCATTTTAAATTAACTCCAACTGTCACATGGATAGTAAAGACTGCAATTTAAAAAAAAAGAGTCGTTTTATTGTCTCTGTTCAGTGGTTTTAAATCTCGAAGATAAAAAGTTCACAAGACGAACATCAATCTGTCGCATATTTAACCTGCATTTAGTGATGTGATGCCTCTAAGAAAAGGAAGGTAACCTTAGCCCAGAGTTCAGCCGATGCTCCATCCATTACAGACACTTTGCCCTGGTTTGTTACTCCACAGATAGATCTCTCAGCGCTCACTGCTCGACAGGTCACATCATTACTCTGCAAACTTTGAAGATGGATAGCTGCAAACTTTTGATCGCTCTCATTAACCCAAACAACCGGCCTAGGCAGACAACAATGTGGCAAGCAGGCTAATGATTTCTCATGGCCTTGAACATCTCTGCCTCCCCTCCAGGGTCACTCCACAGATAGAACAACAGACTGATGAAAGAGGGGGAGGCAGAAGACCAGCAAAGCTTCCAGCTGTTTACACAAATGCTTCGATTGCTTAGTCCAAATCAGAGTTCAATCCTAACCACCAACCCCAACCCCCACAGGTTGCTTTTCTTATAGTATTTCGCCAGATGTTGGAGGAAATATCAACAGCCATGTCTGTATTATTGGAAAAAGCCTCCAAATGTATATTTAAGCAAACAATGATATAACCAAATAAGCACCCAACAACAAATCTGTTGATGATAACCAGCCAAAGAGTCAATCAATATATTAATTAATAAGCTGTTTCTACACAAAATCTGTTTATTTAGCATGCAAAAGCATCTCCTCCATTGACTTCCATTTAAACACAACACCCTCTAGGCTCCTTATTTCCAGTCACTGTTTTTAAGTTAACCTCGACAGCATCCACTATGGTAGAGGTTTTGATATTTAGCTCCGAACTATGTTGTCATCAATGTAAGTACCACAGTGAATAGACCTACTAAAGGCAGCTGTTTTCCACTGAAGCTAGATAACAACTCGGGAGCAGAAGGTAAACTTCATGGTTTGGAATGAAGCAGACCTTTTTTTACCATTCTTTGTGGTTTTTTGATGTGAAAACAGCTTTCACAGCAACCAACCAAACAAACTCTGATATCCTAGCTGGAAAATCCAGATTAAGATGGTTGTTTCGGAATATGGTTTTTAGTTGCTCTTTAGCTGTTCCAAGCTGTCCATGTTGGACCAACAACAAACCAGCTAGCAGCTTAAGATGGTAAAGCTGGTTTTCCAAACATGATGGTTGTCAATCAGTTTGGACCAATTAATGCCTACCTCAGATTTACTAATAACCATTTTAGGCCAGCTATAAACCATATATCCTGTTTGAAAAATACAGATTCCCTATCAGGGATCATATGCACAGTTAAAGGGATAATTCACTCAAAAATGAAAATTCTGTCATTAATTACTCACCCTCATGTCATTCCAAACCCGTAAGTCCTTCGTTCATCACAAATTAAGATATTTTTGATGAAATCTGAAAGCTTTCAGATGCTGCATAAACAGAATCGCAACTGACACGTTCAAGGCCCAGAAACGTAGTAATGACATCGTTAAAATAGTCCATGTGATATCAATGGTTTAACCTTAATTTTAACGGTCTTACGGGTTTGGAACAACATGAGGGTCAATAATTAATGACAGAATTTTTGGCTGAACTATCCCTTTATAAGCTGTAGTGTGAAAAGTGTCCTACACAAACACACATATACACACAAACCTGGTTGATGATAAAGATCCCATAGCTGATCTTCTGTCTGCGCAGGACTGGGTGCAGGTAGTGAAGCCAATATTTAAGGTGGTTGTCTCTGTGTCTGAACGGGATGATGATGGCCACCTTTTGTTTTGGCCGGCAGTCCGGAGGAGTGTATTTCCCCCCTTCTGTCACATTAGGGTTCTCTCTCTGCACCCGCTCGAGGGTTATCTGGGAGCTGAATTCGATGAGGAGACGTCCCACTGCAGAGCAGAAAAGAGGGGCAGTGAGACTTTATGAGAAGTTTCAACAGAATTACTTCAAGTGAATTTGAGAATGGTTATTACAGTTAGATCATTACAATAACAATACAATCACCACTAGCTGTCTGTCCAGCAGAGGGAGCGCAAAATTTTTCTTTGAGTCTCTATACCTCTTCATTGATCCACAGATCTTAAGTTGAGACAACCAATCAATAAAACAGACCAAGGCTTGATTACTTGTTCCCACAAAGACTTTGAACGAGTCTTAGCAGTAAAAGATTTCGCGACTACACCTAGCCACAATCTAATCCCTATTTGCTGGTGAACTGACGTAGTTTTGGCCGCAGGGACTTCTACAACACTCATTAGTGAAGGAGTCTGTGCTGCTACTGAATATGTATGGAGGGCCATTTTTAGGTAACAGCATGATGTTTTCTCATCTGATCATAAAGATTCAGTCTGTCTAGAAAAATCTAACGCATAGCAAATCAGCTATGTTACTAAATCAAATATGGTAATGAAGGAAAATATTAGATAAACAATTCTAGATTAGACACAACTGTGCTAACTTTTAAGGCTGATTGCATTTCTTTTATCAAGCAAGCTTTTTCCATTATCTGTAAATCAGCAAACGTTCCTAAACTGGGGTCCGTTAAGGATTTCATGTGGTCTGCGAGTTGATTGGCTAATAGCTGAGGGTAGAAAATAACGCTAAATTGACCAAATAATTAAACTTGTCAAGAAAAATTGAATTAGTTTTAACACTGAACTGAATCAGATGAAATCAACTCATGGCAATTACCTAACAAACTGGGTTAAAATTAATTTGTGATAAAGTGTTTCTGTTGTGTCACTGAAGTTGTATGACACTTGTGAATACAACTAGCGAAGATTGGTTCATTTAAGGTCATTAGCAAAACAGCAGTCTAATTTCAATAAAATAATAAAACAGCAATCTAGCAAAATTCTGGAATGGTGAAAGTGAGGCTATTTCCTTGGGGTGCGCAAAAAGTCAGTAACATATTGGTTAAAACACCAAACTTATTTAATAAAAAAGTTTCAGTCGATACTGGATATGTATTGGGACATATTAGATTTTTAATTGTTCTTCCTATGTCTATACAAAAACTACCATCTAACACTCACTTAAAAGTAATCTCTAAAAATACTAATAATTTATTAAAACTGTTAAATGTAACCTTTGCGAATCCCAAAATTGGATTTCCATTTTTACAATGTTGTGATGCCTATTCTCCTGAAGCATTTAAAAAGACTTTCTTTTACAATTTATTTAAATAAAATAGTACCATGTACTGTTTATCAATCATGAAAATACATGAAACATGAAAGTACTTATCACTTTTTCTGCATATGCAATATTTTATATATTAGTGTGTCGCTAATATTTCAAAAAAGATAAATTTGCACAAAGAAGAGTATTGTCACCCTACAACATTTGAGAACCACAGCTCTAAAGTATACTACCATTCAAAAGTCAAAAGTTGGTCCCACTTTATATTAAGTGGCCCTAATACCTGTGTACTTACTGTACATAGTAACTAGATGTGTACGTAGTATGTAGCCACAGTGTAAGTACACATTGGTACATAGTATCTAGAGCTGTAATATTTCTGTAACTACACACATGTAACAACCCTCCGAATGGTTTGTGCAAGTACAAATGTGTAACAGGACATATATAACTACATTTTGTAACAACAATATGTATAAGAGTAATTGGAACCATCTGATCCAGGGGGTGGAGATGGGTAGGTTTAGGGATATGTAAAGTGGGAGGAATTGGATCTCAAGTTGGTGGAGTTGGTGCACCACTGTAATACCAGTGTACTTACATGGTAACTTCTCAGGAACTGTCCACAATATAAAGTGTAACATTCTATATATATGTATGTTTATATGTAAAGCCTAACTTACTGGCCGCTGCTGTGTAACATCAGAGTAATTACATGGTAAATCCATAGGAATTGTTTACTTAATATAAAGTGTAACACTTTCTTTACCAAAAGTGTTGTTAGACCTGTTACAAATTTGTACTTTCATTACCAAAAAGTGTTGTTACCAATGTCCTGTTACACATTTGTATTTACACATACCATTCAGTGGGTTGTTACATATGTGTAGTTACACAAACATTACAGCTGTAGATACTATGTACCAATGTGTACTTACACTGTGGTTACATACTATGTACACATCTAGTTACTATTTACGTACACAGGTATTAGGCCACTTAATATAAAGTGGGACCCAAAAGTTTTTTTAAGAAATGAATACTTTTATTCAGAAATGATGCATTAACTTGATCCAAACCAACACTAAAGACATGTACTATATATTGTTTTTTCAGCACAAAGATTTCTATTCCAAATAGATAAGCTATAAGCTAGATTAATTACATTTTAAAATACATTAAAACAGAAAACAGTTCATTTAAATTGTAATAATATTTTACGATATTAATACTTTGACTGTATTTTGATCAAATAGCTAAATGCAACCATATGAGACTTCTTTCTCTTTTTCTGTCTCTTACCGACCCCAAACTTTTGAATGGTAGTATATAATAGTATCATGCATTTCATATACAAGTGTATACAGTGTAACTCTAAAGTATAGGTAGGTCACAGACAGCAGTTATAAAAGATCACACATCAAGCACCACTGTGAAATCTGACCCCTACACACCTGGAAGTGATGGAACTTAGTCATTGAGCTGACCTTGGCAGCAGCAGCAGCTATTCGGGTACTGTCACATCAATTTAGATTTGAAGAACAGCAGCTTTGTGTAAACATCTCACAGCCTGCTACTCTATTTTGGGAGGCAGAGGACAGGTCCGGTTAAAAATACATTTATAGTTGATTGTATGTGAGGCCTATTGCTGCACCTGCGCTCGTTTCCCTATCAGCCACATCATTAAACTAAGTAGCAGCAGGTCAGCAGGGTGCAGCACAGTTGTTTGCGGATGTAATTGAGACATTGTTCCTGTCCGGAGATAAAGGTACTTGCCCTTAGAGAACCTTCTGAATGCAAGATCAGTGTGTTTATTTCTAGCATTCATTCAATCAGATATGTTGACCGTGACAATTTCATAGTCAGATATTTATAATGACATTACGCTTCTGTGGTGTTCTGCTATCATCATCCTGAGCTCACTCGGATTGTTTCCATAAATACGCTGTAATTGACCGCTCCTCATGTACACAGAGATAGAACGGAAGAAAAAAAGGGTTGCTGTGTCCACTTTTTATGAGATGCGGCCACCAACCTAATTACAAGCTCCTTCTTTCAATAAATCCGGTGTGTGGCGTCACCGTGTGCCAATCCCCTCAATCTCTCCAAAGGTCCCTTTGAAGTGATCTCTACAAAGGCTCATTGGATCCAGCTACTTCTAATTAGCAGTGTTATATGAGTAAGGCAAGCAGTCAAGTGGCATGCGTGGAAGGGAATGGAGAGAAAATGGTCTAGAGCGATGAATACCTTGCTATCTGAACACCTGCTCTCATACAGAGTGTTCCATCCACTCTGATCGCAAATGACTGAGGCCATTGATAAGACTGGAGGAGGTAAACAATTGCCTCCGGTTCTTCTGCTGCCTCGTCATAACATTCTTGTTGCAGCGTAGTCTCAGCTTCAGGAGTCAGGGTGAAGAGATTTTTACAAGGATCAAAAGGTATGACTTTATTATTAGTCTTTAAATATTAGTTTTTTTTTCTTGTGAATGTGAAAGTATCTGAATGTACTTGGAATTTATACCTTAGGAAAAAGGATATTTATATTTATTATTAGGACTTTATTAATTATAATACTCAATTGAAAACAATAAATAATTATATTACTATATTATTAGTTTTGATATTATTATTTACTATGATTTTCACTACTGCTGATTTCAAATATATGATTGAAATACTATCTTCACACACAGGTCTTTGGTTTTTCACAATTCCCAAACCTAGAGAAAACAGCATTACCAAGATGGCCACCAAGGAACTGGCCTGCCTTAAAGGGACTTTGACTAAGTGCATCCAACACGGCATTATATAATATCAGCCAGGCCACCATGAGGGATAAACCCAAAGAAACTGTAATATACTGTACTGTACACTGTAAAAAATTTTCACCCCTTTCAACTTAAAAATGTAAGTTTTGTGGCTGCCTTAAAATTTTAAGTTAAATCAACTTAAAAGTACAAGTCATTTCAACTCACTAATTTAAATCTTGCCTAGGCCAATAAGCTACAACTTAAAATGTTAAGTTCTGGATCTCTTGGCCACACACACTCACTTATTGGCTTTCTCTCTCTAATTCTCTCTATTTCCATCACACTTTCTCCTGACCCCTGCAGAGCTCTAGCATGGCTCTCAGGCCAACTGCCAACAAAGTTATGCAACATCACCACAAATAATGTAGGCAGCTGGAGAATGGGAGAGAGGGAGAAAAAAGAAAGGAGAGTAATGTACAGTATTGTACTGTAGAGAGAAAGGGAGTAAGAGAAACACATCCTGTCAAAAGCACAACCACTTCACCAGCACACAAATGTCACCCATTGAGTCATAGTTGGAGGGAAGGTCAGGCTTTTTCCTGTTCAGACAGGAGATTTGTAGTATCTGTAAAATCTACTTAACTTAAACTGGGTTCAAGCACAATCCAATTATTTATCTTTACTTTGACACCTGCTGTGATGCTCAAATCCAAACAGTGAGAACATCCTCCACCCAGCTGTAACCTTTAGCACAGGGCTTTTAGCCAGACACTTAAACCTCTGATCTAAGATGAGGGAGTATGCTTTGCAGTGAGAGTGCTTTGCCTTTTTATGTCAAATTATGATATTCCTTTTTTAAATAATATTTCTTATGTTCCTTGTAGTGACTTTTAAGGGACAGTTTTTTTGTTTGTTTGTTTTTTACATACAATAAAAGTTGGTGGTGTCCAGTGTTGTTTTGGACCCCATTGAATTTAATTGTAAAGACAGAAGTTG